AGGACAGCCAGGAACTGTATTTTAATTCTTTCTCATACAGTCTTTCTTTCAAGGAAATATTTTTCATCCAGGGAATCAGAGGTGTATTAAAAAAAATAAGATTAATTAAAAACAGTAAGGAATCAGTCTTGTCATGACTGGGGAGAAATAAGGCACAGGTATATATAATGCAACAGAATAATAAAATAAATGCCAAAGGTCAAACCCTTATCTCAGCTCCCAACCTACAAACCTCTGATGACTATCTTCCAAGAAACAACACTGCCACCTGGCTGCATTAAATCAAGAAACGATGCTGATGCTTTTCTTTTCTAACCCAATCCTCTGGACATTCAATCTACTTCTGGATTTCAAAATTTCCTACGTGGAATTCTGGAATTCTGGAAGCTTTCTATAGTATACCCAAGGATGCAAAGTGCTAAAGCACAAAATCAGAATGTGATAATTGGAGAATATCTCAAGTTCATATAGATGAATCTTGAAACTGAAGCACAAAGGTAGTACTGTAATGCAGGTTTTAAAGCTTGAGGAAGCAAGAGATGGAAGGGGTGTGTAAAAACAAATGCAGGGAAATCAGTAGTTTGAAGGCAAATGAAATCAATGAGAAATGATAGTGAGGACAGTTTAGTGAAAGTTGAGATACCCAGGAAAATATTAACAAATATTTAACAGTAAAATCAACAGGCCTCAGTTATAATTTGGGAGGGTAAGGAGGAAGAGCAACGATGCCTAGGTTTCTGACATCAGCAACAGGGTAGATCGTAGAGCCATTTACTGACATGAGGCCTGAAGGAGACTGGTCGGGGGAGAGCCCACAAGTTCTCTTTTGACATGTTGGGTTTGAGGCGCTTGTAGTGATTCGAGGAGACTGTTCTTTGGTCGTCTGCTTAAAAGGTCTTAAAAAGGAGCAGTGTAAGATTATTTAAGGACAGTTTTCAGCTATTAGTAGAAGTGGATTATTTTCCTGTAGACAATTAAGGATTATTTGCTGATCCAAATAGCATTATCTTATGATCCAAGGCAAAGGTGGCTACTCGAAGAGGTTGAGAAGGAAGAATGAACAGAAGTCTAAGACATGTCTAGCGAATAACCAAGAAATATTTTAGCAGGAACCAATTACAAGATTATGAGAAAAAGGAACTAGTTATTTATTAAGCCTTTACTACAGAGCTCAGCAGGACACAGTTAATATGTTAGATCATTTTAATCTTCTGCCTTAGAAGACAGGCACTACTTCTCCATTGAACATTCTTTACTTGGTTAACTATTACATCATTCATTCCACAGTTTAATATTATTTCCTCAGGAAAGTCATCTTTAGCCACCACACAATGATCATTCCTTCTGCCATTAACGTCAATGGCACCCTGTGCCCCCCTTTGATTATAAGCATCTACCTGATATTACTTATTCTATAGCTGTCGTATCTGTCAGGTTCCTATAGCTTATACTGTTATAACAAGCATTCCTCAAATCTCAGAGGCTTGAAACACATTTTTTTTCTCACACTATGTATTCAAGGCAGATCAGCAGGAAGGTCCTGCTCATGGTACTCACTCAGGGATCGATGCTAACAGCAGTTCTAATAGCTTACTCTTTTGACCCTGAGGCATGACTGTGGTCACTGACAACAGACAGGAGTGTGGCCAGGAAAGCAGGTGATGTGGGAACCTGGAGAAAGGAAGATAAAAAGATATGAGCACCTTCAGCAGGGAGAAACCACCTTGGCTTTTAAGAAGCCACCTCTGCAGGCTTCCTTGAGAACAGTGCTCTAGGAACCCACAGGGCTCTTGCTCTTGGTCATCCTGTCCCCTGAGAACCAGTGGAGGATGTTAGAGCAAGTGAACCTCAGGACATGCCAGCCCTGTCTGTGGCTGACTGCGGTGACAAGAGGGGCTGGGAGTGTGTGTTCTAGGGTCCCTTCAATTCACATACAGGATTTATCACATCAACTTTTGGTAGGCCCACAACTATCTTAATCCTCCTGGGAAGAAGTAAAAATTTCCTCATCTAACCACAACTGTGTGTGGACTTCCAAGGCTGATAGGAAGAAATTTTGTGTTGGTCTCACTGTTGTGGGGTGGGTGGTCCCCTCAATTCTCTTGGAACTACGTGTTAATCCTTCATCTGCTGACCTGCGGTTACTCCCACTGACAAGGTCGCTCACCTCTCCGAGATGCCTTGGGAAGAAGTGAAGGAGACTCACCGTGTCACCATGTCTGGGTCACCCAGGTCTGGTAGTAGGGACAGGGCTCTATGTGGTTCATTTCTTTCTGGGAGAGGTCCCCTCATCTTCAGTGTCACCTCCTTGACTCCTGTTAGGAACTGGGTCTCCTCTGAAAGCTAAATGGGGCTTCTCCCATTACACCCGAACTCTTATGTTCCTGAGACCACCCTTGGAGGAAATGAGGACACTTCAGCCTGAGTCCTAAACCTGACTTCCCAGGGCAGACTGCAGAGGTGAAACTCGGTGTGGTCTTCTCTGTTCTGGGGTAATTGGTTGTCTGACTCCTTATATAGGATCTGTACCTTGACATCTGTCATGGCCTATGACTCCTCTTTCTCTCTCTCACTGGGCAACCAGCCCTTGCCACAAGGCCCCCTAAGACCTTGCAGGCAAAAGTCAGGGGTACCTAAGCCTCCCAGCTCTGCCCCGGGACTACCAAGGCTAACAGTGAGGGTGGCATCAGGTGTAGTTCTCTCCATTTCCCCACTCAGGATCTTCACCTCGACTCCACACCATTCTTGGGACTCTATCTTCTGCCAACTTGGGGTCATGACCCTCAGACAAAGATCCTCATATTCCTGAGACCCGAGTTGACAGAATGAGAAAACTGTGGCTTATGTCTGCTGGCAACAGGGACAGGGCTCTCTGACTCCACCGTTCTGAAGTCAGTGGCTCCCTCAGTCCTCATTCAGGACTTTGACACTGAGTCCAGGTAGGATTTGGGATTCCTCCCTCTACTGATCTCAGTCTACAAGCTTCAGACCAAAGCTCTAACCTCTCTGAGCAGCTAGAGGAGAAGTGAGGGTGCTCCACAGCTGGCTACCTAGCCTGGGACCCCAAGTTCTAACAGCTAGGGTGCCGCCCTGTGCAGTTCCTTATTTTGAGGAGAGGTCTACTTAGAAGCCCTGAAGGTCCTACCTTTAATACTTTTAGGGCTAAGACTCTTCCCTCTGACTAAAGCAGTTGCCACTTTAAATGAAGGCCTTTGTTTACATGAACCTCTCTCCCTTCTAGGCAAAAATGAGGAGTTATCTCAGCCTGAATTACTCTAGGGTATTTAGGACTGACAATAGGAGAGGGGCTCTGTGCAGTACACTCTTTTATTTTATTTTATATTATTTATTTAATTTTATTTATATTTTTTTAATTTAAGCTTAGTCTTTCAACTGTACAGCCCACCATCTGGCTGAGGATCTGGCCTCTGCTCAAGATTTTCACAGCATCACCTAGCCTGCATTGCAGATAAATGAAATTCCCTCCCATCCAGGGACTTCTGTTTTCCCAAGGTCCAACACTGCCTTGTTTCAGGACTTTTACACTTGACTGCTCTCCTCTGGAACCACCTTTCACCGTTCTTACCCTGTCTTTTTATTTGGTTTTTCAATTTTGGAGTGTATATTACCGTTTTCCCAGTCTAATAGCTGCTTCTCGACTCTATAATTTTTCTGGTTCATGGTTAGGTCTTCTTTTTCTCAGCTCCCCCAGTACTAGCATAGAGGCTTCTAAGAATAGATGTGCAATTACTGTTTGAGGAATAAATGAGTCTGTGAACATGGGGTATAATTTATTATGGTTTAATTCTACATTCCTGAACTAGTCAAGTTCATACAGTGAGTTATAACTTCATAAAACAGAGTAAAAGGGATTGAGAACCCCAATATTGACAATGTTACTTTTTTCTCTATTTACTGATTTCATATACAGAGGTGCCTTGGTTTTTGAACATCTCCGTTGACGAACATTTTGGTTTACAAACGCCATAAACCCAGATGTAAATGCTTCGGTTTTCGAACATGCCTCGGAAGTCAAACATGCCACACAGCTTTGCTGAGGGCAAGATCCTGGGGCCCAGCTCTCAGCTGTGCATCCCTCGGTTTTCAAACGTTTCAGAACTCGAACAGTCTTCCGGAAGAGATCACATTTTAAAACTGAGGTACCACTGCATTTTACTGCTTTATTTCTTTACATTTTCAAGGAAATGCATATTCCAAAGCCATGTCACCCTGCACCAGATTACTAAATAAGGTGTAAGTTTCCGCAACTTGTTTTACAAAACAGCAGAACTCTTATTCTTAAACCTGGTAAACAACAAGGGTGGGGAATATAATTCACTAAGATTATAATGCTAGATAAGCCTGTATGCAGAAGTAACACCCCTCAAAAACAGAACAAGTGAAAATACAGATGAGCCCGGCCGGGCGTGGCACAGCAGTTGAGCACCGACCTAGGATCCAGGAGATCGCAGTTCGCCTCCTGGTCGGGGCACATGCNTGGGCGGGGCACAGCAGTTGAGCACCGACCTAGGATCCAGGAGATCGCAGTTCGCCTCCTGGTCGGGGCACATGCCCGGGTTGCGGGCTCCATCCCCAGTGACTCATCACTGATGTTTCTCTCTCTCTCTCTCTCTCTCNATCTCTCTCTCTCTCTCCCCTCTCTCTCTCTCTCTCCCCCTTCCTCCCTCTGAAATCAATAAAGATAT